GCATATACTGTGAATTGAAGAAAAAGCGATAGATAAAACTCTTGTAATCTTCCACTACAAGAAAATCGCGTATTACCGACGGATATTTACCGACGGAATTGTAGCCGTCGGAAAATAATCATTACCGACGGAAATTACCGACGGATATAAAATATTTGTGAAATTTGATGTTACAGACGGATATATCCGTCGGTAAAATAATAATTAGTTACATGACGGATATATCCGGTCGATAAATCCGTCGGTAATTTATAGATGAATTTACCGACGGATATATCCGTTCGGTAAATCCGTCGATAAATTAACAAGTAATTATCGACGGATATATCCGTCGGTAAATTCATATGTAAATTAAAAATTATTTACTGACGGATAAATCCGTCGGTAAAATTATATAATATAATTTAATTATTCACTATTTAAAAAATAAAATATTTTTTATTTAATAATTTAATTTAATCATAATTAGATTAATTTATAATAATTTATTAAATTAAGTAATTTTAAAAATAAATATTTAATTATATATAAATATATATATATATATATATATAAAAATATATAAAAATATAAAAATATATAAAAATATATAAATATATAAATATATAAATATAAAATATATAAATATATAAATATATATAAATATAAAATATAAAATATATAAATATATAAATATATAAATATATAAATATATAAATATATAAATATATATATAAATATATAAATATATAAATATATATATAAATATATAAATATATAAATATATATATAAATATATAAATATATAAATATATATAAATATATATAAATATATATAAATATATAAAAAATATATATATATATATATATATATATATATATAAATATATATAAATGTATATAAATATATATAAATGTATATAAATATATATAAATATATAAAAATATATAAAAATATATAAAAATATATATATAAATGTATATAAATATATATATAAATGTATATAAATATATATATAAATGTATATAAATATATATAAATATATATAAATATATATAAATATATAAAAATATATAAAAAAATATATATAAATATATATAAATGTATATAAATATATATAAATATATATAAATGTATTTGTATATTTGTATATAAATATAATTTATTTGTAAATTGTTATCAAGAAATTCTAGTAGCTTAGTGGTTGGAGTATCGGTCTCGATTCCAGTGCTAGGTTCGAATCCTGCCAATGACATTTCTCTTAATCTAACTATAATTAATAAAATTATTACCGACGGATTTTGACCGTCGGTAATTTTAATATTTCTTGTAGTGTTCCACAAAAACCACAAACATGTGAAATTGAAAAGTAAAACATAAAAACTTAATAACTTAAATTAAATACTCGTTAATAAATTGAAAAATTAAACTTGAATGGGTGATTGAGAGAGGATATGTGACGTTGCAGTGAAGGATGAAACGTTATAGTGAAGGATGAGTGTGAGAATGAAAGAGACGGCAAAGAGAGAAAGAGAAGGTAGAAGAAAATGAGAGAATCAAAAAATAAAAAAAAATTAATATTAATTATAATTATTATGTCAGTTAAATTATTTGTCATAAATTACCTTCCATTTTTATGGTTTTTACAACTGCTGAAAATAAACTTCTAACAATTATGAAGTTTTTTTTACTGAGAAACATTGTTTCAAATCATTCCATATATCGGTAGCCAGATTAAAAAAAAAAAAAAAAAAAAAAAACTTTGTGCAATTGACTAAGGCATAAAGTTTAAACACCATGACATTATTAGAGTGTTGTAGCGTTCCCACGTAACAAATAGATGATGGACTTTCAATCGGGTAAATATAGTAAAGACTTGACTGATTTATTTGCAGACATGGTGAGATGAGAGTATCAGTGAAGCTCCAAAAGAGCTTTGATACCACAATAAATAATTGTCATTATTTTATGATATGGAGTTTCAATAGCATCAACAATCATATATGTGTGAACTAATTCATATGCCAATTGAAATTGTAATAAAAATATTTTAATCTCATGTCCTATTATAGTATCATTATATCTAAGGTATTATTTGTTTTAAAACTTTTATTTGTCACAGTTTTATATTCAAAACATACCTGAGTTAAAATATAAAATATATATATATATATATATATATATATATATATATATATATATATATATATATAAAACTCACTTTAACCTCAATTCCTAAATTAAGTAAGACTTGTAAGTATATTAGACAAATTCTAAACATTTTATTTTACTTTTTAGCTAAATATGTATGAGATGAATCTGTTTAATGCAGGTCAGCAATTACATTAGGTTGTTATAGGTAAACCATATACGATGGTAAGAATGAAATATTCTTTTTGCATAGAAGGTTAAATTTCACTAAAACTTCTACTAATAAATAAAAACTTCAAAAATATGAATTTTGATATAAAAACAATAACTGAATTTGAAAAATAAGAAAAGAAAAACATAATTCAAACATTTTATAATTTTTACATAATTTTATATTTGTTTTTCTTATTTATTTTATTAAATATTATGGGTATTTTGTGTCATATTAATAAAAAAATGAAAAGAGTTTTTTCAAAATCAATAATAAATATTAATTTACGATATTGGTAATATTTTCTAAAAAATTTAGAGAAAGTAATTTGTAAAATTCTCCTTATTTTATTAACTTAAAAAAAAAAAAAAAAGTATTTATTAATGGATGGTGATATTTTTGACAATCACTACTCCCATTCAACAACTATAATACTAATAAAACAATAAGTAATAATATTATAATAAAATATGTAAAAAGAAATAGAATTGTAGGATGGATTTTGTGTAAAAGCGTTGTGAAAATAAAATTTTCCTTTATTAATAACCAATCTAAACATGTCCTTGATATATTCAGCTAGCATCATTAGTTTAATGACACGTAAGTTGTCTTCTATAGTGAGCTAAATTTTTCTGTATGAATTTTCAGTCAAAATATTGGAATTTGGAATTTTGTAGTGAACTTTTAAAGGATTTATTAGCAAAAGCACAATCTCTAACAAGTTAGGATTCTGAAATTTCTTGTTGTCGAGATTTTATTTTGTGTGTATGTCCTTTTCATTGTTTGCCAATTAAAATAATTTCGGATTTGACTTTTAAACTAATTCTTAAAAATTAACAGTGATTTTTTTATTGGTTGAAATATGTTTTTAGTATTAAAAAGATTATGAATTTTGTATTTGATTTTTAATATATATTTTTATTTTTTCCTTAAAATATTTATAGATTTTTTATTTAATTTCTAAAAAAAATTGTTTATTTTTTCGGTTTTATTATTATATTGGTTTTTCTTTAAATGATTTCTGAAATATATTAATTTTTTATTAAAGAAATTATATGTTTTCTATCCCAATGTATTGAAAGGTACTTAATACAAAATAAATGAATGTTTAGAGATAAAAATAATAATAAAACAGTCATTAGAAATTAAATGCATTTTTTTTTAATTTTCAAGAAACAAAAGCATATTTTAAATTTTTAATTATATCCCCCATTTCACATTGATTGATGTTTTACTACAAAATTTAATTCATGGTAATTAATATTTTCAATTTTATATGAAATATTAACCCCTAAAAAGATACTATTTGTGTTATAATTGGTTTTTTAATCTTATGAAAAGTTTTTGAACCTTAGTTAATTTAAAACAAAGAAAAATACATAAAAATAATTTATTCATATTAAACAAAACACTTTAGGGTTTTCAATGATCTAAGTTCCAAAATATTCTTCTTATTTCCATGATTTTTTTTTATTCTTGATATGAACTTCCATAAGAATACTTTAAAATAAAAACTGTGTTTTTTTTAATATGGTATATTTATATAAATAAAAAATAACTTTAAGTTATTTTCTTCATCATTACAAAAACAGATAATTTTACCATTGATCAATACAATCCTTCACTATGACATTAATTAAAAATATTTTATAAAACATAATTAATACAAGAGATATTTTTAATTGATCTTATAAACAAAATCAAATATCACTTTTAAATTGTTTCTTTTAAAAAAAAATTCATGCATCTAAAAAAGAAGGAAGGAAAGTAATTTATTTATTTATTATATATCTGTTTAGGCTCTTCTTCATTTATTAGTTTAAGAAAAGAAAAGCTTGATCTGATCTACTTCGTGCTCTAATCCAATATCAAGAATGTTAAGATTGAACCGATTAGATTTTCTTTGGAGAAGATTCTACAGATTAATGCAAACCATGACTCATTCAAGTGAATTTATTTTAATTCTACTTGCCTAGTTTGACTTTTAGTTCATGACTATGCACATACTAGGATTAGTTCTTGATTAAAAACTCTATAATGTGTCATTATCACTCGCCTTGTTATTAGCGTTTTTTATACAAACGCTTATTGTTAATATTAGCCAAGCACAAACCAATCTCATGGACACGCATTTCACTGCTTTCCACGCGGTTCAACGACCTTTGTTTTTTTCAATCAACACTTCGTCGTCTTTTGGATAAGACAAAGTACAAAGATTCACGTTAACTTTGAAACCTATTTTGGGTTCAATTATTGACATATAGTGCAGAATTTGCCAAATATATCCTTGGTCAAAATAAAATTATCATTGTTTACATATGTGAGCGACCATATCGAGTTTCAAATGCTTAGGCATGATCTAAGCATGTGGCTTGAACTGAATCAAGATAAGATAAGGAATGTAACTCATGATGCATGGACTTTAATTAAGAGGCATCTAACTTGTCTTTCTGTACAAATGGTGTCAATAAGACATTGAAAATATATATTTTGACATAACATATTTGACATACTTCTACATAGAATCTTCATGATTATTTTATCGATGACGCTTATCATCCTGACTAACAATCTAACTCTGCTTTTGATTTTTTCTATCCTAGCAGATCTTACATTTGCTTCACTTATACTTGTGGTAATGGTGCTACTCGGTTTCACTTAGTATTTCCCTGAATCTGCTACATAATTGTTGGTCATTTCAACCGGTTGAGATTTTACAAAGGGTTCTACTCCAATATTGGCGGTGTTAATTTGAAAATCAAAGGATGAACTGTAGGAGCCATCAGATAAAATTGGACCCAAATAATTCATATCCAAAAGGTATGTGAGGGACCAAGTCCTGGGAAGGTTCATCATCATTTTCTGTTCATCATTATTTGCAGCTAAAAGATTAGTTATTTGAACCTTTGGGTGTGCCTCTTTGTGCTCCATTGTTCTTGCCATGCTCTTCTTCTTATAAATCCTGCACAGGACCCAGTCATCCAGCTGATGAAACATCCAAAACCAAGGAAAATGTCAGTGATAAAGCAACATTGAATAGCAAACTAATTTGTAAAATTTCATAATGGAGCAATAATGTGGGTAAGGCTTGAAAGGTTTACCCTCATGGACCCTATTTTCCTGCTAGCTGGTTTTTTTGATTCAGCCAATCGATACTCATGCATAATCCAATCAGTCTTGTCACCCTTTGGTGGTCTACCTTTGTAAAATACTAAAGATTTCTTCACCCCAACAAGCTTAGATCCACTATAGATTGCCTTGTCCGTGCCAGTAGCCTTCCAATACCCGGACACTGTTGCTCGGTTAGGCCTCACCCCATTTGGGTACTTCCTGTCTCGTGGACTAAAGAAATACCATTCATTTTCTCCAAATTCTGTTTTATCTGCATTCCAAGGTAAGTTGATAACAAAGTGTGTTAGACGTAATATAATACCATTCATACATCTTCACCTAAAAGTTCAATATTTGAGATTGCTGATTTTGACATGATGTCAAAACTTCTATAACCAAGTAGTCTAGAATAAGGTTTTATCTTTGTTGTCTCCATTATTCTATCAGAAAGTTGAATTTCGAGATAAGATAGATGAGCTTATGCACTTATTCGCGTTTCAATCCCAATGAGTTCTTGCATGAAGGAACATACTATACATGGGTTAATGACCAGTGAAACATTCATAGACATTATGGTGCAACAAACAGAAAATTATGCATAACAAGCCAATAACAAAGCTTTGGCAAGTGATGCTACTACATATATACCTGGCAGTTCCCATGGATCAAACTTGTAGAGATCAACTTCTGGGATGATAGAAGCAGGGCATGGCTTTGATGTGGCTTGGTTGCAAAGGTAATACACGATTAGTTCCTCGTCCGTTGGGTGAAACCTAAAGCCAGGGGGGAGTTCAGAGCTGGTGGTACCATCCATTGAGTAAGAAATATGAAGTTGGTTTGGGACAAGAAAAGGGGAATTATGAAGAGAAGGGTTTGCAGAAAAATGGTGTTTGAAATGTTTGCAAGGAGATTGGTGGTGCTTTTATCTTTGAGGGTGGCTATCTTTGCATGCTATGATTGGATGAGAGGATAAATTTTCCTATTCCTAGTACATGCGTCACCAAGCATGCATGCACCAATGAGGGGTCAGAACTATTTCACATGTATATCTGTTACTGACTTTTGCACATGGTTCAAAGAACCAGTGCTTGGACGTCTATATCCATATCAAGTAATATTCAATTCTCATTTCTCCATTGGAATATTATTGCCAATTGCAGCATTATATTCCCACTTAATTATGTACTCAGCAGCCATTTGTGTGTCCTCTATGAATTGTTAAAGTATACTACATCAGAATGTTTCTCACCAAACTAATACATCATTGTATGGTCCATGCAATAATCGTTAAAGAAAAAAGGGTAGAGAAGTTTTCCTTTTGCTTTTTTCATTTTTTGTGGTGGAAGTTGTGATCAGAAGTTTTTACATGTCGTCTATTTGCATCAATAATTTGTCGTGGTTTATATTTGAACTGAAAATTGTTGCCAAAAGTTTTACTCACTTTAATTAAAAGCAATAACTTTTATTTTTATTTTCAATTAATTGTAACATGGTATGCATTTTAACCATGCCTTGTTTGTGTTGTGACTAAGTTGGCATCGTATGCATGTGATGTATTGTGTCTAGATACACGATACCACATAAATAAATGGTGGAAAAAAATGTTAGTAGTTCAAAAATTTAAAATTGATGATAATTAAAAAAGTTTAAAAGAGTAAATAAAATTTAGTTAGACATTAATGATAGATGTGTTCAGCAATGACGCAGCTCCTCAATCAGTTGCAAAATATGCTGGGAAATGGTGTGTCTTCTATGTACGGATTCATAAAAAATTCAAAGTTGGCACTGTCAGCAACCACACAATCACCATGGGAATCCAACTTAGATGAGCCAATTTTTCACATAATGAGATCCTAATTACGTATTTTAAATTTAGTTTAACGACATAATACACAGGATCTTCATCTAATTAACCAACCTTTCTATACTACTGAATGACTATAAGGACGAATGCAGGTAATGCTCATCCACCAAACTCAACGAACGCAAGCTTTCTTGAAACATTAGAAATATAATATTTTATTAGCACACTCTTTATGAATGAACAAAAATTTATTAAAATTTGCATTTTTTGTTGTTGGATCCCAGCGTTATAGTTTTCAGTATAATTTTCTCTACAATTTCTGATTTTCTTTATTATTTTGATGGGATTTTTACCACATAGTTTTGTAGTTCTGGCATAAAATACAAGAAATTATTCGTGAAAAAAAAAATTCCATAAGTACAATCACATAAAATGTAGGAGGAGGTTTGTTGTTTGTGGACGTAACAAATCTAGAACCATAAAAAGTATCTACGATAATTTCTATAAATGTTTTTATTTTTTTTCAAGCAGATAACTTATAAAACAACTTATAATTTATATGAAAAAATTTAATCTCATTTTCTCTCCAATAATTAAAACCGCTCATACATAAACACGTATATGATAAAGACTTTATTTCATAGTCATTTAAATAAATTATTAACTAAAAAATCTTAATTATATCTTTATTAATAAATTGCATTTTTACTTAAATACTTTATGTTTACATGTAATTTCGGGTTGCATATGTTTTAGTTTTTAAATATATTTATTTTTTATGATAAATTTTAAAATGAACTTTTACATTAATCCTATGTTTAGGTCCTGCAAAGATCTCCCTCTTTCTCATGCTTAAAATTTGTTACATCAATTGATAATGTGTTTACTTCGCTAAAACATTATGTGTTTAACATTGAGCATATATACATACTCCCATTGGCAGCTGATCAAATAAAAAAAATTAATCTAGATATTTTGTTTTAGGGAAATATAATTCTTTTAGGTGTAAATTGGTTCAATCTCCTTGTGGTGTGTCACTGTTTGTAAGATGAATTAATTATCCAAGATAAACCGGTTTATCGCATGTAGTTTTTATTTTTATAGAATCATTTCAATTAAGTTTTCATCAGATTACTTTTGATTATAAATTTTGATTTGGATTTGGATTTTTAATATTAACATAAACATAAAAGTGGAGTGGGAGAAAAATAAATGTGTGAGAAATGTAGATTATTAAAAAAAGTGAACATAAGATAAAAGTGAATCTAACCCATTATTGTGTGAAAAAAAGTGAATGTACAAGAAAAGTAAAAGTAAATATGAAGGAAGGGTAAATTGTTGGAAAAGTTAATTTAACCCAAAAAAATTAATAAAAAAATCAATAAGAGTGGTAGCCATTGAAAAATGTATGAACAATAATGTCTTTTTAGAATTTTAAGTGTCTTTCAATAATTTGTCATATTTAATTATACTTATTCAATTCTATTTATGTTTTATTTAGTGTAATTGATAAGAGAATAAAATAAAAATAATTTCCTTTTTTATATTTATTTTCCTTATTTTTTGAACAATTTCATTATCACGTATCACTTATAATTGTTCATATAATTGTTTATGCATGCATCTCAATTGTATATCTCTTTCTTAATCCCTTCTCTTATTCAATTGCATAACTGTTTATTGATCATTTATTTTTCTCAATTGTATAACTATCTTTTTGATCCATTGTCTTTCTCCATTAATTAATCATTTCTCAATATACATCTTGTTTTTCTTTATTTCTTTAAGTCCATATATCTTGATCAGTCATTTTCAATATTGTCTTTGTTCCTTCTTGATTTTTCTACGTCTTCGATTTACATTTGAAAGTATTATCATGTTATTGTCAATGTGTTTCTCGATTTTCATCAAATTATGATAAACCTTTGATTATTTTATCTTCGATCCTCCTTGATCACCTTATTTTTGTCTCGATTTCCCTATTTATTATGAAATCTTATCTTATTCTTCGATTTATACTTCTGATCACTTGTTTTCTTCGATCTTGATTTTTTATATATTTCTTAGTTGACTCATCAATTACTTACATTCTTGATTTTCTATTATTCTTCATCCTCAATATTTTGATCTTGATTTTTATTTCTTAATCTTGATTTCAGTTTTTATCTTTACAATCTTTTACCGTTTCAATCTTGATTTTTTTTTATCTCTCTAATTATCACATCATATGTCCTACAATTTTTTTCCTCTGTATATGTCTAAGTGATTAATTTGAATATTCATAATATATTTTCCTAAAAAAATAAAAGATTATCACAAAATTTAATGTAGAAGCGAATTTTTGGAGAAATTACTCATATTATAAACAAAAAATTATTATTATTATTATTATTATTATTATTATTATTATTATTATTATTATTATTATTATTATTATTGTAGATTATAAGGGTTGAGATTGAATATGTAAAAGTTTTTATTTTTCAATGTGATAATATATCATATATTGAAATTCAATCAAATATGTATAATACAAGTGATTAAATACTTTAAAATTAGAAATGGTAAAATGGGGTAAATTTGACAAGTCGATAGACCTAGCCTACTTCAAAAGTAATGGAATGGGAGGGTTGATGATTTGAACTTGTTATCTTGTTTTAATTTATTTCGTTTAATCTATCAATCTAAAAGGTTAAAGGAGGAACGACTCATTTTTGACATATTAAAGATAAGATGTATCAAAATGAAATAGATTTACTCATTTTGTCATCTTAATTTAAAATTTATCATTATTTCATCATGGAAAGTATCACCAAAATATTATATATTTTCCTTTTTTTCTAAAAATTTAATTATCTAATCTTTTAAATTTATGTTAGAAATATTTGATTTCTCTAAAAAATAGGACATACATGATATAATTGTATTATCTATACAAAGTATGTGAAGATAAATGTGTGAAGGAGATTACTCTTCAAAACGTCTTAAATAAATTAAATTCTCTTAAAATATTTTAAAATATAACAACCTTCTACAATAAATTAAGCCAAAATATACAGGATAGGTATACTTGATAAAAATATCTGTGGGTCGTTATCCGTGTTCATTTCACACCTATGTGGATAAACATCGATGTTAACGTACATGAACCTATTGACCACTTCAACACGACGTCATGGATCTTGAACGATGAGTAGCAATGGATCAATCAGTAAAAGATAGCTATCAAGTGTCAGCAACCACACTTATTACGAGTGACCAACTTTCTTTCCTTCCTGAAAAAGGTGTGGGCTATTTGAACTAAGGTATCTTAGCACTACATTTGAACAAAATGGAACTTATGTTCATATTTTATCATGCATTCGTGTCCACTAGTAATTGGACTTTGCAGCCACTTTTTCAAAGAATATTCTCCTTTCCATATTTTGATTTCAGGCTTTCTTTCAATGCCGTATTATGTTTTAAAAACCATTTAGTTATAATTTGATTCAACTTCGCTAACCAAAACAAAGGTTCACACTTATTTTGGCTCTTAACAAATTGTTTGGTTTGATAGAGACAGAAAAGAGAGGAAAAGGAATAAAAGAGAAATATACAAGTGAGAAAAAAAAAAGTTATAGTTTCTTCGGTTAGATTGGGGAGACTTGGTCTTGTCTCATCATGAAAAATAACAAGTTATCAGCTGTTGATTTATGAACATGTGTCAACATGTAAAAATCTAATAAAATAGAACGAGGACACGTATAACTAGCCATTAGAAATTTATAACCATCGATTTACATAATTGAAGTTCTTCATATCTTTTCAAATGATTATGAATTCATTATTCAAAGTTTTGTCAAACACCAACAACGATGTTTGGAAAATGGTTGATGTTTCAAGAGAGAGTGGAAATTAATTCATTCATCTCATTGATGCTTTAATTTTCTTTTCATTTTATTCTTCCAATTTTTGCTTCTTTGCAAAACTTTATTTCTTTTACGCATCAAATGATGAATACAAGCTTTATAGTATCAACAACAATATATTATTAAGTTGTTCATACATTTTCAATATCTAAGTTTTATATGTATGTACCGAAAAGATTATCAATTAATGTTTATAATAGTATATAATATGTTTGTTATAATTGATCTATCACTAGTACTAATCCTGTAAAATACACAAACCCTCTTCTCTTTCCCTTTCGTCTCTGTCACACTCTTCTTCTCCATCCTACACCGCCCTTTTTTTCATTCCCTCACAACTTCAAATTGTCTTCATTTTTTTATATAAATTTTTATTAAAATAAACTTAATGATATTTTTATTCTTGAAATTAAAAATGTTTTTTTTTTTTGTCATCTAATTGTAAGAATTTATTATTTGGTCTTTTGATTTTTTGAAGTACTTTTGTGTTAGACGTTGCTCTGATATGACAAATATTGATCTATTTAATAATTCACGTAATTTATGATATTGAAGATGAACTTTTGAATTATTTTAATGAAATAATAAAACTCTAATATTGACGAATTGTTGCATTGCACCACAACTATGTGTTGCAGAACTTCATCCATTGCAACGGGAGTATAAACCCTAAAGCACCAGGTGTATCAACCACGTCTTCAGCTTTACAGTAGATAGAGCACATCTCGAGGTGTATCCTTAAGAGGTTAACCCTAACTGCTTGTTTTGCTCACTCTGCTTTGCAAATAGGCCTCTGTTTGTTGCTGTTTGTTGTATTTAACTTGTGTTTTCCCATTTTTTATTAAATTCAGGGTATGGTTTTTGAGTTGGGGGATTCCTTTGGGTGTTTGATGACACTTTTTTTTCTGTTTTTGGTGGGGGAAGTTGTCAGATTTGGTTTTAGGAGTCGCATTTTGTGTTTGTTTATGTTTTGGTAGTAAATTTTGATGATCTTTGACCTATTCGAGTTGATCTCTACTTTATCTTATCTTCTAATATGACTGTGATGCTGGCAACTAGTTATTCTTCTATTAGCTTGATTTTCTCCACATATCCCCTTGTCAATTTTCAAAATATTTTTCTTCTTTTTAATATGCTTAACCTGAGATTCAAAACCATGTGAGTTTGGTGTTTTGTTTTGTTTTTATCTAGCTTCTGCATATCTCCTTGTAGCTGATTCTCACAACTCTTGAAACTTTTGTAACCAAAAGTTCCGGGGGAAGTGGTTTAGTGGCCGCTAATTTTCAAGACCGAGATTGCAAAAAGGTCTGCGTTAAAAAAAAAAAAAACGTAGGCAGTTAGTTTGTAGGAGTAAGTAGTGTAAAAATTGATCATATTCATTGTTGAATAGATATTTTTACTGTTAACGATGCTATCCACCTCTCCATCTATTGTATATCTCAATATCCAATCTCCCATTAATCTCCCATTTATACAAAAGATTTAATATTGTGCCTGACCATTATATACATGCACATAAACCATATTTCATCACAGCATGGTGAAAATTTCGGCAGGCTGAACTTTGATTGTTTGGAATACGCACAATCATGAATTTTGCAGATAAGGATAAGTGGTATGCAATGTTCAATAACATTATTCGTAGCATTGGTTTACATAAAGCAAAGATAAGTGACTGTGACAACTTGAGTTGATCGTGGCTGGAAACTTGATGGTTTACAGCAAGTAAAGAAACATAAATAATAATAATAATAACTGTAGCAACAAAATGAAGAAATAGTCTGGAGAAATTGATGAAAAAATTATTCACTCAATCACCAATGCAGAGTTGAAGAAGTGTCTTCATTGCTTGCTTTTTCACTATCTTCCCAAACACTTCTCTTGCCATCTTGAAAACTTTGTCCTTCTCTACAACTCCACCAGTATTTTTCTTCAACTCCTCCATGAGCAACTTAAGCAACCTGTGATCCCCTCCCACCACATCAGTGATGCTATCAACCACAACCTCCGCAGTAGGAATCCTCCTTCCCCACCTCTTCATGGCCCTCTCTGTCCTATAAGTCTGAGAATACGCTTCCCAAAATGATGCCCTCAAATACCCTTTTTCTTTCCCCCTAACCTTCAACCTTTTCAGTTGTTCCTCCAACTTGTACACCACACCCCCCCCATCCATCCCTCTCTCAAGACCAATCTCTATCTCTCTTATTTCCTGTTTGGAGAACACTTCCCCCTCAAACCTACACCTCTTGCACTTGCAATGAATCCCCCAATTCACAGACATCTCCTTCCTCTTGTTCAAACCACACAAAGGGTCAAAATAAGCAAAGGTGACCTCCTCCCCAGCCTTCAAATCCTTCGAAGCATGAACCACCAAGTAGTCCCCAACATGCAACCTCCTTGCATTGGGACAACAAGAGTGGTTTATGAAGGAAGGGAGCAACCATAGGCCAACACCATAACAATCATTGCCCCTCCTCAACACATTGGCCGAAACAGCATCTTCAGTGAGAGAATTCACATCCAATATACCAAGCAACTTATCCATATCAACGCCAACCTCCACTTCACCATCCTTCTCCACACTCTCAGGTCTAAAGAGACAAACATCAGGCACCTCAAGTTGATCCTCATTCTCTCCATATGACAACCTATTAATCAAACCCCTTGTCCTGGGACACTTCCCAACAAACTCAAAAACCTTGTCAATGAAATTCTTCCACATTGCCAACTGTGCATCCTCACTCAGATCCTGAACTCCTCCCATTATGATACTCCTTTCCATGGAAATTGCTTTGGTGACCAAGATCAATGAACCAGCATCAATATTCTTCGTTGCAAACAACCCTCTCCCACTGATCTCAGATCTTCTAATCTCTACCGCACCAATGTGCTCTGCAAGCTCTGGAACCTTCCCTCGAAACCCATTTGAAACCCAGTCCGAAAGATCGAAACACCCCGTTTTGGACAAAAGCTCCAAACTTTTGCATCTCTCTAAGTATCCACTTACGCTTTCAGCGTTCCCATCAAGCGTGGCGGTTCTGAAGCACTCAAGAGCGGAAGCATATCGGTTCAGGCAGAGCAAGATCTTACCTTTGCACAAAAGGGTCTTCAAATGCGTTGCATCGAGTTCTAAAGCGTGGTCACAGTCCTGAAGGGCGCTGTGGAAGTCCTTCAACTTGGACCTCGCTTCTGCGCGGTTGCATAAGGCTATGCAGAGGGATCTGCTAAGCTTCTGGTTTGGGTGAGAATGAGAAAGTTTTTTGGTGCAGAGGGTGATGAAGTGGGAATAGGCTTCGATTGATGCATTCCATTCTTCTCTGATGAAAAGCTCTGTGGCTTTGGATCTGAGTTGTTGCAACTGATCTTCTTCTTCTGCTGCCATTTCCAACTCTGGCTTTTTGGGTCTACCAACAAACAACCTTTCGTCTCTCTTTTCAAATAGAGCTTTGCGTTTCAAAATTTTCGTCAATGTAACGGTCAGATTAGTTTAATTTCACTTTATGATTTTTCTTCCTTTTTTTTTTTTTTTTTCATCCTCGGACGTTTCTCAAAGTTTTCAATTGGCCCAATATGCTAATTACATCCATGTAGAACCAAAATAGAAACCGAGCTAATTCCCTGAAATATTTATTACTTATGTTCTAGAAAATTTTTCCACAATAAACCCAATCACCAACAAATTTTCCTAATTAATATTTTATATTAAAATATAATTTAATTATTAATATTGCTGATATTCAATTTAAAATATATGTACCTAAATATTCGCATAAATTTAATATTTTATATCGATATTAATTATTAATATTAACAAATTTAGGTTATATTGACATTAATTATTTGATATCAATAATGATTTTATAATTAAATTTATTTACCCAAAAATATTTTAAATTTTATTTATTAAATATAATTATTTAATATTAATAATATAAATATCAATCTCATAAATAATATATTTTAAAATAGATTTTACTTCAATTTATTTATCTAATTATATCATTTTATTTTTCATAAAAAATTTTGATAATAGAGAATAAAATTGTTTGAAATAATTTAGATAAGTTTTCCTCTTCTTTTATTCTTTGTGTTTTCTCTCTCCTCCTTTACTTCTTTTTTTTTTCATTGCATGTTTTTCTTTTTTTTCTCTCACTTTATCTTATTTTTTTTAATAAGCCTTCTATTATTTCTAAAAAAATAATTTAAATTACGTAAAAATATTATAATTTAACATATTATATTTAAAAAATATTATATGAGAAATTTTGAAGTATTATAATTATTATTATTATGTTATAATTATTAAAAAAATAATATTTATTTTAAAGAAATTGTTTAATAAATATTTTTTAATTATTTAATCTGACTAATAATCATAATTTTATTTAATTATAATTATATTAAATTATTAAATAAATTTAACTCATAAATATTTGATAATTTTTACCTAGACGAGTAATTGGTTTATTATAATTAAATAGTTTAAAAATAATTATTTTACTATTATATAAATAAAATTACTATTTGTCATCGTAATTTTAAATAATTAATTGATATTTTTGTAAGATTTATCGTTGATTTAAAAAAAAACTTATTTTAACATATTTTTATTTTATTTTATTTTAGAATGATAAATGGAAGTGATAAAAAAGATGTGAGATGAAAAAAAAAGAATAAGTAATTAAAAAGATAAAAAAAACATTATATTTGAATAACTTTTTAATTAAAGTATACTATTTATAAAGTTATTTGATTAATTAATTAAAATAATATAATAATCCAAATTTGTTAATAAAAAATTATATTTAAGTAAAAAATACTTTTATATAATAATTATAACAGTTGTATTGATTATAATTAAAAAAATTATTTATTTTTTATGTATTATTAATTATTTTAATAAATTTTAATAGTAACTAGACACACAAAAATTCATTTATGTTGGCCAAATCTCTCATGTTAACAAATATTTTACTATAATATACTATCTCATCTCCAAATATCATAGAGAATATTATGGTTAATTATATTATAGATATATTTAGAAATCATTCATATTTATGTAAGCATCTGCATGTGTATATATTATATTTATTTTCTTAATCAGATCACAACTTTTCATACTGTATCTCTTTTTATTTTCGTATCGAGCTAAATTGATTTAATAAAATATTGTTTTCATTTTGTTACCATAATCAACTATATTAAAACGATATCCTTAAGAAAAATCATTTTCTCTTATGTTACTTTCAAGTATATCTCAAAAAATGTGTTATGGGAGAAAATTATGATGAATGAGTTTGTATTGAGAGAAAGAAAATGAGAAGTAGAGTTACTTGAATTAAAGAAAAAGTGTAAATATTGGAGAACAAATTGTAAAAAGTGTGGAAAAAATGAGTGAAAAAGATTTAAAAGATAAAATTTATTTAATTTATTTATATATTTTTAAAAAATTATTACATAATCAATTATGTTTAAAGATATAATCTAACTTAAAAAGTTTATAATATATATATATATATATATATATATATATATATATATATATATATATATATATATACATTTGTTCACATTTCTTCGTGAGTGAGAGAACAAGGAATAATCTTTAAATAGTATGTAAACGTTATATTTATTACACATTGAAAATCTAATTTGAACGCATTGTTCGCCTTCCTCACCTCAGTCCGGGGATCGAAAGGCAATGTGAGAGTAAGGAAAAAAAATTAAAGATGTTAATTTTATGTCACTTAATAAAAATCTTAAATCCTATAACTTTAGTATTAAAACCTAAAATTGATGATTAAAAAATTAATAACATAATTTGAAATTATATAAAAAAAATATATTTTAATTATATAAAAAATATATTAGGTCAATTATATTTTATTCATGCATTTTTTTTAAATGTTTAAAAAAAATATCAGTTATCAGAATTAGGATATAGGGACTGAATTTTGACCAGTATTCCAATGAACGTGGACCATGGCAAAGTTCAGTCCATGTCTATCCGTATAAATAATATACAATGAGTTTAATCGGAGATTACGTTTATTGGAAAAAAAAATCTATTCGCATGTGTATGATATTAAAAGAAATAAACTTATTTATCCTTTTTTATAACACTTATCGCTGCATTATTTTTAGTATTAATTATTTTCCAACTAAAATACTCATAATTACTTAAGAAATCCATTCTCTTTCCTGTGCTCAAGAGAAAAAAAAAAAAAAAACTAGCAACATTAACTTATAAAATTATTAGATGAAAAAAATTTAAATAGAAAGAACAAGTATCAATAATTAAGATTTTTAAATAGACTTAACACTATATATCTTAACACGATATATCTTAAATATAGGAGAAATAGATTAGTTTAAAAAAAATATAGTTTAAATTGAATTTTACATTTGATTTAATTTATTTGGATCAGAAGCTTATTTTAAAATATAAGTCAGATTAGGTTGGATTGAGTTGCTATTTTATCAACTTTATTAATAATTTTAAGTTAATTTTAGCAAAATAATATAAATTATTAACACATATAAATTATTAATACTTAAAGTATAATGTTAATTAATCAAATTTCTTTTGAGTTAAAAGTTATTATATTTAGGACGTAGTAATATTTAATATTTTCTCCATTTCCTTTCTAAGATTCTTTCAATAGTTTTTATTCTTACTTATCTGTCTATTATTTTCAAAGTTTTAAATGATGTTAACTATTATTTTTAATAATATTCTTACTTAACTATTGACTAATTTACACATTTATAATGAAAATAGAAATGAAAAATAATTAATATGAATTTGGGGAAATGTTTGAATGAGATAATTATTTTGCATCAACATCTGTCTAATGTGTCACTGTTGATGACTGAAATTTTCTCAAAGATATTTGCATCTATCAGGAACAATGTTTTCAAACAGTTTTGAATACTAGGATTTTTTAGTAGTAAAAAATTATCCTTCCAAATTTTTGTAATTTATGTGTATTTATGATTATGATTTTTTATTATTATTATTATAAATAATAAATTATTTAGTTTTTCTAGTGAAGATTGGTGACGGTATTCTCTAATCATCTTTCATGAATTACCGACTCTATAAAGTATAAAATAGTACATAACAAAATTAGTTAATAACTTACTAACTACCCCCTTGTAACTAACATAATTTTATTGCTGCTGAATTGAGAGCCTTTATTGGGCTGATTTCCCATGACGAAGTAGCTGGCCCAAATTTAGCTGATTTTGGTTCTGATCCGCAAACCTTCCATAGCCCACTTCTATATTCCATTGCTATTTTCTTATTGGGATTTATTCAATTGAGTTGAGAGAGATTAATACATTTTTTGAGTGAGAATACTATTATCTGAAATAATCTTAACGTGACACATTATAAAGTTTAAGCATTTTTAAATAAAAATATATGATGGAGTCAATGCCACATTACTCTGTTTTTTTTTTTAAAATGGTAAATGAAATTAACTATTTATGATATTTTGTAAAATTCAATTTATATATATATATATATATATATATATATATATAAAATAAAAATACCATTTGTCTACTAATTTTACTATTACATAAATACTATGTTGGAACTATTTCATTATCTTATAATTATTGAAAAACATATTATATATATATATATATAAATAATTGAAGAGATGATAATATTTTTTAAATTACTGACTCAATTTAATTAGATTTGTTAGGATCGAGCGCTTACTACTAGGCCAAAAGCGGTAACCATTTCGATTGTGACTCGACCCACCTGGCTTTCATTATGGGACAATTGATACTACCTGCAACAATCTCTCCTTCAGCAATTGTTCTACAAGGTATCTCACTCTTGGGCTGTGACTCGGCTCACTCGGCCTCCGTCACGAGACAATTGTGCTGCAACAATTTCCCCCTCAACAATTGTCCACTAGGAATCGAACTCGTGACTTTGGCTCTGATATCAATTGTTAGGATTGAGCGCTTACCACTAGGCCAAAAGTTATAACCAATAGTCAAAGCGCAACTCTTTTCACTTAAGAGTAAGTGCCAATTGCCACCACGATTCGATTGTGACTCGGCCCACCCGGCCTCCGCCACGGGACAATTGATGCTACTTGTAACAATCTCCCCCTCAGCAATTGTCCTACAAGGAATCCCACTCTTGGATTATGACTCGGCTCACCCGACCTCCGCCACGGGACAATTGTGCAACCTACAACAATCTCCCCCTTAATAATTATCCACCAGGAATCGAACAATCTCCCCCTTAACGATTCGATTGTGACTCGACCCACCTGGTCTTCGCCACGGGACAATTGATGTTACCTGTAACAATCTCTCCCTCGGCACTTGTCCTACAAGGTATCCCACTCT